GCCGCCCCCGCCGTGACCGAGGAGATCATTCCTGGCTTCAAGTTCTCTCGCTGCAGCTACCTCCAAAGCCTCCTCCGTCCTTCCGTCATCAAGTAAACAGCATACATAAATCAGTTTAGTTTGTAAGCGAAAATGCGAAAATATGCGTTTCAGAGTCTGTTTGTTCTTGATCGGTGTGGTTTTTGAATGACAGAGAGTTGGAGCTAGGGCGACATGGATTGAAGATGTTGAAGAGGAATCCGTCGTCGTTCACGCCATGTTTGGATGGGCGGTATCTTCTTCTAGGGCCTGATAAGGATCTTAATTACTCGGAGATATCGAAGTTTTCCAAACGCGACGCCGATGCTTATCCAAGGTGCTATTCACTATTTAGCTCCCTCTCTCTTCTAATCTCGCGTCAATTTTGCGCTAAAACACCTAAATCTGATTCATGCAAATGATCCTAGTGTGTCCTCCTTATGGTTGATTGACAATCTGAGTCGATCTTGACTTGAGATTATATGTATTTTCTGCTATGGAATTTGAAATTATTCCGCGGTGAGCAATGATCGCTTTATTGTTTTTCTGAAAAGTTTCTTCTCCTTCGCAGATATGAGAATCAGCTAGAGAACTTCTGCAAATTCATGGATCCACTTATAGATTCACCTCCTCCTGAGTCTTTGCAGTACATCTCATCTTTTAGTGATCGATTCAAGGATAGGATACACAAATCAGTTTTCTGGTCCCGTTTTCTGCGACGGACTCTCTCCTTCGGCCAAAAAGACTTGGTGTATAAATTCTCTTCTTTTTCTTTTTCTTTCTTCTTTTGTGTGAAAAAAAAATCAACTAGAATTTGGTACCATGTTTATGATATATGCTCCAATCATGTCCATTAAGATTCGATTTGGTAATTGTAATTTTGGCGCAAACAGTTTATAAACATGTCGTTATTGATCTTGGCAGGGATTTTATGGACCTATTATTATCCCCGGCCTCAAAGGTTTTGAATAACTGGTTTGAGGTTGTGATATAATTTTACTTCTGTGTTCCTTTTTATGTGTTTGTGTGTGGAAGTCATATGTACTGCAAAAAGTTTATCCGCAGGCCATAAATTTCTTTTATGCCAGAGATATCATTTGCTATCCAGGACAGGCGATAGATGTTTAGTTACTCTTGTTTAATCACTTTAATCATTTTATCAAATATTTTCATTATTATTCATGTTTCATGATACTTTTCATCCAAGAGGGGAAAAAACACGGTAGTGTGCCTCGGTGATTCAGACCTTGGGAAACTTTCATTTCTAGCTTGGACCAAAAATATGTCTATCTTGTATTTTTTGTCCTTCCTTTTCTTACTTACTGTTGATTTTTGCAGACAGATGTTTTGAAAGCAACCCTTGCAACAGATGCTGTAATAGGCTCAACTGTAAGACTTCTTGAGTAGTGTATCGATATACATCGTTCTATCTTAAATCATCCTAGATCATGTACAACATATAGTCATATACATCGTTCTATCTTAAATCATCCTAGATCATGTACAACATTGCTCCTAAGGAGCACTGTGCGCATGAGATAATCTGATTTAGCATATAATTATATGAAGTTGGTTTCGTGATAATCTCCTTGGAAAAGATTAATGAATTTCAATTTGTTTTCCCAATCTTATAATAGCTATCCTATATTTTGTGGTGAAGGCAAGCGTCCATACACCTGGGAGTGGATATGTTTTGTTACATCATGTGATGGGAGAAACTCATGGCGACCGTGGAATTTGGTCGTATGTATTTTTTTAGCTGGCTTTGGTGTGTATTACATCACTGAACACTGTAAATTGCCAAACACCCTATTCCTGTTTATTAAAGTTGGAATTCATCACAAGTAGCCATCAATTAGTTGTGAAGATTGTGATGTAATTCAATTAGGCTTGAAAAAATTATATGGACGTCAAAGATATGGCCTACCAAGGGATTACTGTGTTGTTATGGGCTTAATGAAACACACGATAGCAATGCCGTGTTCCATGCCCCGTGAAAAAACTTTTAAAGAAACAGATGTCGTTAACTTGCAATATGTATCTCCTGTTAATGTCTATTTTTACACTAGTTAGCTGTGTTCTTGCGTATATGCAGATGTTGTTAATTTGTTCCATTTCTTTCTCTGTCCTTGAAACCATTTTTCCCGGCAGGTATGTTGAAGGTGGTATGGGTGCAGTATCCTTGGCTATTGGTAATGCTGCTAAGGAAGCAGGAGCTTGTATTATAACAAGAGCAGAGGTATATGTTTCTGGAATAACCCGTCTTTTCGTTTTATAAGTCTATTTATGAAGAAAATCAAGATGCAAAATCATAAATATGACTAGGAAATTATATCTTACACATGTGATTCTACTTCTTGATAATCTATTTGGTTGTGCAAGTGTTTTACAATTTGGTGCCTTGCATAACTGAAAACACTACTGATCTAGTGGATATACAAGGACAAAATTGCCTGAAATTCTCAGTCTGCTCATGCCAGAGTACTTTGTCATTGTATAGATGCCCCTTCAAGCATCCAACTGCAAATTGAGTTGGATAGAGAAACTAGTATCATTTGCTATCTCTATGAAGCTTCTCTTAACAGTGTTTTTATTTATTTATTTTTTTTAATAAGGTTAAACAACTTTTAGTTGAAGACTCGGGCAGAGTGAATGGGGTTAGTTTTTCGTGGTTGCTCCAGTGAACTGCACTTTTGAAGCTTCGATCCTGAAACTGACTAGAAATTATTACATCAAACTTTCATTAGGTCTTATTGGCTGATGGCACGCTAGTGCGCTCTTCGATTGTTTTATCAAATGCAACTCCTTACAAAACTTTTAAGGTGAAATGCTAACCTGGCTGCTTTAGTTCATTACTATACCATAAGCTATATGGACATGTAATAGTGTAGGAACCAGCGGGAAAAGGGAAATAATTTTAACTTTCAACTTCTCGTTAGATAGATTTTGATGGGGATAGGGTTTTGTCTGATACAGGAGTTGACACCTAATGAAGTTCTTCCGGATGATTTTCTCCGTGCTATCAAGTACTCTGATTACAGCTCTGTAAGATCCCTTCCTAACTGCTTTTCTTTTTATTTATTTCTCCCCAATTTTCGTAATCCGCTATCAACTCTATACTAATAATTGTGGAGTGTGAGTGTGTACAACAGAGATCATACGTGTAAAGTTTATGCATGAAGATTATTCAAAACAACGCCCTTAATGAGAAGCTTAAATTTAGTGGTGAAACATGGTCCAAATGTACCTTGAGATTAGTGCGAGGGATAAGCTATGATTTCTGCAGATTACAGGAGATTATCTATCCCGTTGTGCAGTCTTTCTAGTGCTTCATTACTTCACAAATGCTCTTTGCTACTTAAGAAAGAATGCAGTCAAGCCATACTGTGAAGGAAGCCTAAAGGATAAACTTAATCTCTTAGTTTATCTGAAATTTTGTTTGATTATGGGAATTTCGGCATGCCTAAATAGGATAATATTTAGAAGTTCATCTATTGAATTTTAGCATGCATAATTATGATAATATTTAGAAGTTCTGCTGAATACTAACAACAGAACCATGGGAGAACGCTGCAAGCTGATCATGTGTCTCACTTGGTTCACTTCTTCCTTGTATTCTAACCTATTGTCTATTTATTTATCTTGCTGGAATCCTATCAATTTTGATGAATTACCTTATTATGTGCTTGCAATTGGCAAAAACAGGGAACTACAAAAATCAACCTAGCAGTTGATAAGTTGCCCCAGTTTCAGTGTTGCAAGTTAAGTCATCTTGATGCAGGTCCTCAGCATATGGGTACCATTCATATTGGTTCTGAGAGGTTTACTTTCTCTGACCTCATTGTCACCATTGATCAGTTTGTTATCCTGTGTGTACTCTGTGATTGTTAACTAAGATGGGAAGGTAACATAACCACGCAAAAATAGAGGTTGGCAGTTTCCTTAGACAGGATAACTTGATTCGACATCTACTGTTGTTCACTTGTATATCTTCAATATTTTAGAGTAGGCTAATGTGCTAATGTGCTGGTTCTCTAATTAATAATTTAAAAGCTCGTGGGAACAGGACAATTGATAAATCGTTGCGAACAGATACTTCTGTGTTGCTTGTTGATGTTGTGTTTATTGTGTCCGAGCACTTTGCTATTGAAGATTCCTGCTATCTAGTTTAAGATTTTATTTGCATACCTTAACAGCAATTGTTTGACATCCCAAATGTGACGCTAACCTTTTTTTTTTTGTATCATTACCATCACTGTCAAGTATGGAGGAGATTCACTCAGCCTGTCAAGATTCTGTCAATGGATTACCATCACGGAGACCGGTTATTGAGATGACTATTCCTTCTGTATTGGACAAGACTATATCTCCACCCGGTAATTGATTTAACTTTTGCCTTTTATTAAACTCTCACAATTTCTTTTAATCATGAAAGAGCAGATTGTAGGTTGGACAAATATCTTATTATGTTAAGGTCAATTCCTGAAAATTGCACGTAAACATGGAAACCCACAAACATGAACCACTTCCAAAGCACCTTCTTGTCGTGAACCTGCATACGCGGACATTCATATGAATGGATTCAACCTCCAAAGCACCTTCTTATCAAGAAAATATGATATGCGTGTCCCTTTACTAATACATTCAGTTTGAACCATGAGTTCTCCATTCGCACATAGCAAAAACTATATACAAGATCTAGCTCGACTTGCTCGCATGGCAAACACTATCTAAAACATTTAATTGTTTATCACATGGACAAGGTTCAACTTTTTTTGCAGGTAAGCATGTGATCAACTTGTTTATTCAGTACACACCATATAAACCGTCAGATGGCAACTGGATGGACCCTGTTTATAGAGTGAGTTTCCTCTCTCAACTATTGTCTATACGTAGAAACAAAAACAAAAAACAAAAAAAAAAAAAACAAAAACAAAACAAAAATGGAAGTGGCTGCTAAAAAACTGCAAGGTCATGATGCCATTGGTTCAAACTTGGATGCTTGATCTATCAAAGGCTTCTCAATCTGTCTTAATGTTCTACCCGTCACCACCAACATTAGCCAATGAAACCACTTCTGATCCTATATTTTTAACTGGTTCTTGATCTTCTTTTCAGGAGTCGTTTGCAAACAGATGTTTTAGCTTAATAGATGAATATGCCCCGGGCTTCAGTTCATCAGTTATTGGTTATGATATGTTGACTCCACCAGATCTTGAGAGGGAAATTGGTCTGACAGGTACTTCTTACTCTGATACTCAGAATCTTGACTGGATCCGTGTAGCGGCATAAGTTAACAATTCTTAAAATGACTTTCCTGACAGGAGGGAATATCTTCCACGGAGCGATGGGATTGGATTCTCTCTTCCTCATGCGACCTGTACAAGGATGGTGATGATTTTTAAAACTTACATTTTTTAACATTGCCACCTTTCATCTCTCATTTTTCTACATGACAATGTTTTCACTTGAAATTGTTTTAAGTGATTTGTATGTAATTTATGATATTGTTGAATACACAAGTACAGGTCAAGTTACAGGACCCCGCTACGTGGGTTATATTTGTGCGGAAGTGGGGCCCATCCTGGAGGTGGTGTGATGGGTGCTCCCGGTCGTAATGCTGCACTTACGGTTCTTCAAGATATCAAGAAAGTATAGTCAATTCCACCAACGTGACGGATCATGTTGCGCTGCATGTTGTGCATTTATCATTACCCGGCGTTACAATGGAGATCAAATTTTGTATTCCGCATTACTTTGATAATTTTATCTTTTGTGTTTTGTAGTTTTAGGGAAAAAATAAACAATACTTTCCATTGATAATACTGAGGAAAAATACAGAGGAATATATAGCCAAGGATCAATGGATCCGTGGGAACTAACTACATGATCGTAGGAGAAAAATCAGGAGAAGATTATGAGCTATCTTATCTGCTACCTAAAATCCGAATCAGCTAACTATATTCGGATTTGATTTGAATAACAATTCCCTACAAATTAGGGATAACAATATCTTCGACACCCCCCTCAAGTTGGTGCATAAATGTTTATCATGTCCAACTTGCTGGTGAGAAGCTCAAAGTTAGGCCTGAATAATCCTTTGGTAAGAATGTCAGTTGTCTGTTGCGTTGTAGGAACAAATGGCAAACAAATAACTCCTTCCAACCTTTCTTTTATAAAATGTCGATCAATCTCAACATGTTTAGCTTTATTATGTTGCATTGGATTGTGAGTTATGCTAATAGCAGCTTTGTTGTCACAGTACAACTTCATAGGCCTTTCCATTGGTTTTCTAAGTTCATCCAGAATCCGTTTTAACCACAAAATCTCGCAAACATCATGTGCCATGGCTCGGTACTCTGCTTCAGTGATACTACGTGCTACAACGTTCTGCTTCTTACTTCTCCACGTGACAAGGTTACCCCATACAAATGTGCAGTAACCGGATGTAGATCTTCTATCAATAAGTGAGCTTGCTCAGTCAGCATCTTTATAGGCTTCAACAGTCCTTTGCTCACCTTTCTTGAAAAAGAGCCCTTTCCCTGGAGTACTTTTTAGGTTTTGCCCAGTCAGAATCCAATATATTGCTTCAAGATGCTCCTCAAAGGGAGAGTGCATAAATTGACTCACAACGCTCATTGCAAAGGCTATATCTGGTCTTGTATGGGATAAGTAGATTAATTTTCCCACAAGCTTTTGGTACCTAGCCTTGTCAACTGGTGCTCTATCTATAGTATCTCTAAGCTTTTGGTTTGGATCCATGAGAGTATCTGCAGGTTGGCATCCACTCATACCAGTTTCATTAGGAAGATCTAAAACATATTTCCTTTGAGAGACAATCAGCCCCTTCCTTGAACGTGCTACTTCCATCCCTAGGAAATATCTCAATGCTCCCAAATCTTTAATTTCAAATTATAGAGCCAAGTTTCTCTTTAGTCTTTCCATCTCTACCAAGTCATCACCAGTAAGAATGATATCATCTACATAAACTATTAAGACAACAATCTTACCTTCCTCAGACCTTTTTATAAACATAGTATGGTCATTCTGAGCCTGAACATATCTTTGGCTCTTCACAGAATGGGTAAACTTATCAAACCACGCCCCAGGGGATTGTTTGAGCCCATATAGTGACTTCTTCAGCTTGCAGACCTTGGATTCGAACCTCTCATCAAACCCTGGTGGTGAGTCCATGTAAACTTCTTCCTCCAAGTCGCCATTCAAAAAGGCATTCTTTACATCTAATTGATGAAGCGGCTAATTAAGATTAACAGCAATCGACAATAGTACTCTGACTGTAGTCAACTTAGCAACTGGAGTGAAGGTCTCAAGATAGTCGATACCATAAGTCTGAGTGAAGCCCTTGGCTACTAAGCGAGCTGTACCTCTCAAGGGTTCCATCCGAATTATACTTGATCGTGAAAACCCATTGCAACCAACCGTCTTCTTTCCTCTTGGCAGATCCACTACTTCCCATGTTTGATTTGAGCCCTCATGTCTTCATCAATAGCTTTCCTCCACTCTGGAACTTGCAAAGCCTCTTGTACATCTCTTGGAATATCCACAGAGGAGATTTGTGAAGTGAAAGCAAAGAAAGCAGGGGATAATTTGTCATAAGAAACAAAGTGAGACATAGGGTGTTTAGTGCAAGACCGCACACCCTTTCGAGAAGCAATGGGAATATCAAGATCATCAAAAGACTCTGTTGAAGGCTCATAGGGATTTTTACCTGGAGTTTAGATGCTTCAGATTCTTTCCACGGTTCAGACTCATGGCTTTGAAGAGAGGCGGAGACTTTATCTTTTGAATGTTAATTCTTCTTGGAGTAGGTCTGCAACTTAGTACTTGCTATGTTCTTATCTATTTCTTCTGTAGGATTATTACTTTTTCCAGATGGCACTAAGGATAAGGGGACCGTTTCTCCTATATTATTAGTATTTATCTGCCTTGCTTGCTTAGAGTCTACGTTTCTGTTGCTAAAGTCATTTAGATCAGAATTTTCAAAACATTCAAATATAGAAAGATCTTTGACAGTCTTAACTTGAACATTTTCTTTTCCCTGGTTTTCCCTCAACATTGTGGCAGAATTTGAATTATCAACGTAAGAAAATATTTGATTTCCTGCAACATTATCTTGAAAAACATCCAGTTGGTTTTCTTGGATTCGAAATACATCATCATTGCTGTCCAAATCCGAATCTTCTCTTTCTCCCCCCCCTGAAGATGAGTTCCAAAAAAAGGTTTATCTTCAAAAAAAAGTTGCATCCATGGTTATGAACATTTTTCTTGAGATAGGGTCAAAGCATTTATATCCTTTCTGAGTTGTGCATATCCAACAAAGACACATTGTTTAGCCCTAGGATCAAGTTTTCCTCTACTGTGATCATGGTTATGAGTAAAAGCTGTGCATCCAAATATTCTGAGAGGAATGTCCGAAGTGAGCCTAGATGCAGGGTAAATGTTTTGAAAAACACTTAATGGTGTTTTGAATTTGAGAACCCTAGAAGGCATCCGGTTGATCAAATATGTTGCTGTCAAAATTGCTTCACCCCAGAGATACTTAGGGACGTTTTTTTGAAAATAGTAATGCTCCAGCAACTTCTAACAGATGTTTATTTTTTCTCTTAGCTACGTTTTGTTGAGGTGTATCATTACATGAACTTTGGTGCACAATTCCTTTTTCTAGGAGAAAAGGTCCTAAAATTTTATTAAAATACTCTTTACCATTATCACTCATAAGATGTGGATTTTGGTTTGAAATTGGGTTAAAACCATCATGTAAAAATTTTTGAAGACACTTTCAACCCCTGACTTTTCTTTTAATATATAAACCCAACCCAGCCTTGTATGATCATCTATAAATCTTACAAACCATTTTTTTCCTGAAGGTGTTACAACCCTAGAAGGACCCCAAATCAGTATGGATCAATAAAAAAGGTTTTGTGGGTTTATAGGGCTGTAAAGAAAAAGTAGAGCGATGGTGCTTAGCCAATTCACAAAACTCACATTGCAATAAAGAATGATTCTTATTCTTAAACAAATCAGGCAATAAATGTTTCAAATAATGAAAATTCGGATGACCTAATCTATAATGCCATAACATAATTTCTTTATTGTCAACAAAAGAGACAGAACCATAGCATGTACTTTGTGCCGGCCTTTTTGATGTTGATCTTTCTTCAAAAAAAGAAAGTCCTCCGCTTTCTCTAGCACTGCCAATCCTCCTCCCCGTGGTCAGTTCCTGAAATTCACAATATGAAGGAAAGAAATTAACTCGACATCTAAGATCACTGGTTAATTTGCTAATTGACAACAAATTGTAGGACATATTAGGCACATGAAGAACTTTATGAAGAGTGAGTGTGGGAGAGATGACAATGGACCATATTCTTGCTATTACAGACAATGAACCATCATCAATTTTGATTTTTTTGTTTCTTGCACATGGACTATAGGAATAGAACAATTTTGAAGATCCGGTCATATGGTCAGTGGCACCTGAATCAATAATCCATGAACAATATGGATTTGATTTTTCACAAGAAAAAGCTGCAATAAGATAATTACCCTTTTGAGCCAAAGAACAGGAAAGATTGGAGAATTGTGGAGATTGGAAGAGCTTGTACAAGTGGCTTAGCTGTTCCTTTGAGAAGGAATGCATCTCTGAATTGATTTGTTGTCCTTGAGAATCCTCGCTCACAGTTTGTAATGCCCTGCTTTCACCTCCGTTCTTCTTCTTCTAGTTTGGTGGCTTCTCATGGAGTTTCTAGCAAGTTTCCTTGGTGTGCCAAGATTTCTTACAATAGTCACACCAAGGCTTCGTCTTCTTGTTCCCTTCCGAATCTGGACCTCTAGAGATCAAGGCTGAAGTTTCAACACCTTGACTCCTCCCTCCGAACTTCAGAGAAAACCTCTCTTATTGATGGTAAAGGTTTTCTTCCAAGGATTCTGCCCCGCACCTCATCAAGTTCTTGGTTGAGCCCAGCTAGGACATAAACTCGATCATTTTCCTCCTTTTTTTGTGATGGACACTGTCTTGTGGGCAATCCCACTCGTCCTCATAACAGAGGTCCAGCTCCTGCCACATCGTCACAAGTTCGCTGTAGTAAACAGTCACATCTCGATCTCCTTGTTTTGCCTTCCAAAGTTTAGTTTTCAGATCAAAAATTTAGGATGAGTTTTCTACATCTGAATACATGTCTCGAACTGCTTCCCATACATCTCTTGCGGTTGGCAAAAAAAGGTGAGGCTTTCCTATTGCGGGTTCCATTGAATTGATGAGCCACGCAATCACTAGGGAATTTTTCGAGCGCCATGACCTCAAGTTCGGGTCTTCTATGGCTGGTTGACATACTTCTCCGGTCAGATGGCCAAGTTTTCCTCTGCCATCAATTGCAAGTCTTACAGATTGAGCCCACTCAAGATAATTGCTGCCATTCAGTTTATGGATAGTCAACTGTAGTGACAGATTTGGATTTGTTTGTTCCACACTACCAAACTAGATGGTACCTGTGGATTGTGGTTGGAAAGTTCCTGAGGACGAGATAGAATCACTCCTTGTTTGAGTGTTTGATTTCTGGGCTCCAGTCATCACTGCCCTATAATCCATAGACTTTGATTTCAAGCCTTGGCTCTGATACCATGTAGTTTTAGGGAAAGAAATAAACAATACTTTCCATTTATAATACTGAGGAAAAATACAGAGAAATATATAGCCAAGGATCAATGGATCCGTGGGAACTAACTACACGATCTTAGGAGAAAAATTAGGAGAAGATTATGAGCTATCCTATTTGCTACCTAATATCCAAATCAGCTAGCTATATTCGGATTTTATTTGAATAACAATTCCCTACAAATCAGGGATAACAATATCTTTGGCATGTTTCTTACTTTTTCGCATCGATTTTCTCTCCCTCCTGATGGGGGAGTGGTAAGTTTGATTTAGGGGTTTTAAGGTTGGGGTAAAAAATGTTTTGGGGGGAGAAAATCGTGAGAAATCACCTTGGGATAGGTTTAGATTTTTTTTTAGGTTATTTACCTTTTTAATATATCTCATATTTTAGGTTTATTCAAAAAGTATACATTTAGTCTTTGATCTCATTAAAAATATACACTCACATTAAATTTAATACACAAATCTTTACTTTTTTTTAGTCTAACACTTGGTTTTTGACTTAAAAATACCTAAAGTATCGTTAGATAGAAAATTAAAAATTCTTAATCTTATTTTTTAAACTGTATTTGGTTCAAATTATAAAAATAAAAAACTCTTACCTAGTCTTATTCTGTGACAGCCATATGTATTAAGGGTGTAAGAATTAACCCTAAACCCGATTAACTTGCCTCGATCCACCCGACCCTACCTGAATTCTTCAGGTTTACCTTTTTAAATTTTTTTTTTTCAGTTTTAGATGGTGTTAACCCACAATCTGTGGGTAGGGGCACAGGTTGGGCCTCCAAGACCTGAATCTACCCCGACCTGGCCAAAAATGTACATCACGTTGGTTTAAGAAAAAACCTTAGGACCTATCTTCGCTCTTCGCCTCTTCCTGACTCTCCTCTTCCTATCTGATCTCTTGAAAGTTTGAAACCTATCTTCGCTCTCATTTTTGTGCCGCTCTGTTCCTCGCCTTGCCTCCGCTTTGCTCCGTTCCTCCGTTACGAGCTACTCCGTTCCTCTACTCCTTGTCGTCGTTCCCTTCTTCCACCACTCTCCTTCTCGCATCGTCTCTGCTCTGCTCCGTTCCTCGCGGTGCCTCTGCTCTATTCCTCTGCTCCTTCTCGCCGCACCTCTGCTCCGTTCCTCTTCTTCTTCTCACGGAATCCCTCGCCGTTGAAGGTTATAAGCAAAGATTCTGCTATCACACTCTCCTTCTCTCATTTTTGTTTTTTTTTTTTTTGGTTTTATGTTTGATATTGGATCGACAGTGGCGGATAATGTTCGATGTTATTTTAAAAGACCGATTATTATGGTGATTTTCAATTGTATTCGATGTTATGTTTAATTTGATAATGTTTTGATATTGGATTGACAGTGGCAGATATTGGATAATGTTTGGTATTAAGTTAATGTTTGTATATATTCTCTATGTTCAGTGATATTGGATATTGGATATTGTATATATGTTCAATGATTCAGTTTTTATTTGGTGATTATCAGTTTTTATTTGGTGATATTGGATATTGGATATTGGATATTTTATAATGTCTGATATTCAGTTTTTATGTAGTTGATGTTTTCGGTTTAGCTATTGGTTAGAGAACTCGTTGATGGTATATAGTTAATTTTTTTATTTTTATTTTTGTGCTAGATAGAAAAATTTATCATTAACTCCTTGATGAGTACGTAATTTATACACTCATTCGTTACTCCTTTAGCTAGTTTTGGCATGTTTTTCTCAAGTTTTTATGTGGATTTGATGATTTTCCCTTGAGTGTGCAGTAATGGATGAAATCGCTGAGTTTTGAGGCATTCTGGATCAAAAAGATAGAGAATGAGGCGATACATCGCCTTCAGATGGCGATGTGGCTTGAAAAGGAGCAAAAATCGAGCAAATTTGTATGAAGAAACAGCGAGAGCTGCGACATGTCGCTTCCTTTCAGGCAATATGTCGCCGCCTCCAGGCGATATGTCGCTTCCTTCCAGGCGATATGTCGCCTGATTTGCCGCTGCCCTAGTCTGGTGCACAGATAACAGAGAGAGCTGCGATATGTCGCCTATTTCTATGCGATATGTCGCCTCCCGATTTTATTAAAAACACGCGTTTTGCCCTAGGTTAGGGGGGAGATTTTTTATGGAAAGCGATTTGGCTTCTTGGGAGGCGTGCTGAACGTGAGATATAAAAGGAGAGACTAAAAACTGCAAAAGGGGGGAGAAAAAGGGTTTTCAAAAGGAGAAAAACTGAATCGGAGAGGATTGGAGATTGGAGCAGTTCTTCAAGAATTTCAAGCGTTCTTTCTTCTCTTTCTTCTTGTATTTCTCTAGATTTTGAATATTATTTTGACACTGAGAGCCACATGATGTGTGGCTAATTTTCTTATTTGTTAGGGTTTAGATGAATCTCTATTTGTGATTATTGTTTTGACGTTTTAATGTGCATTTAATTAAGCTCTTCGTTTCTTTCGTCTTCTATTTTGAATTATTGCTGCTAAATCTATGATTTACATATTGCCATGCATTATGAGATTTTGAATTGGGCAGATTTTTATTGTGAGGATTAATACTCGAGAGGGGAACGTTCAAGCAATCAAGAAACGGATAGAACAACTTAGGTTGGTGTGAGATCGAGAGATAAACATTACCTAGGTAACCGAAACAATTTTAGGTTGTGAAATTGAGAAGTGGAATTCCATGAATTATTTCTAGAGTGGAACTTAATGAAGGTAGGGATGAATAGTTGTATAGAGATATAGGCTTGATATCACGTACACATTCTTTATGCGGCACTCGAGAGAGGGAATAAGGATATACATCACTCTAGGTTCTTGAGAACGTTGAGTTAGGTTAGGCACATTACTACGGAGAAACATAATCGCAATAGAGTGAAGTCAAGACCCTAGCATTCTTATCATATTAATTTTCCGTTCTAATTTCATCACGTATTATTAATTACTATCATCTTTCCTTTTGATTTAGTTTTCCTTTATTTTAGTTTTTCTTTGAGTTTATCACATCTAAATTTGATCGCTTAGATAAAGTTAAGATATGATATTCACAATAGTTAGTTTATATTCTTAACGTCAATCCTCGTGGGACGATATCGGTCTTTGGACCACTTTATTACTTGTACGACTTGTGCACTTGCAAGCGTAGTCAAAATTATATTGCAACACTCCTCCATAACAATCCAAACTTTTGAAAGCACTATTAAATCTCCTGTTGAAATAGAAGCTGGGTAGGCCAAAGAACCTAGTGCCATGCGCACTCTTTAGCCTATTTTGGTCTTTGATAAAGAGGATGGAGACAATAAAAAGAGGAAGAGGTCACAAAAAAAGTCTTTTGTTTGGGATCATTTCGAAATCATAGAGGGTGGGGATCCAAATGAGCCTAGGTGTAAGTGTATCTATTGTGGGGCAAAATATGCATGTGATAGTAGGAGACATGGGACTAGTAGTATGAAGGTTCGCATAGAAAGGCAATGCAAGAAATATCCATATAGGATCCAAGACAAAACACAAAAAATTTTGAGTTTTTAAACCAGCACTGAAACCGGCAGTAATCTTGTTGCTATATGCTTTAACAAGGAGAATTGTAGAAAACCTTTAGCAAAAATGGTGGTTGTAGATGAGCTTTCATTTAGGTTTGTTGAAGGTGAAGGGTTTAAGAATTTTTGTCAAGTAATATAGCCTAGATTCACTATCCCCTCCCGTGTTACCATTGCCAAGGACTTTTACCAACTTTTTTTGGAAGAGAGGAAGAAACTGAGAGATGAATTTCGTAACGGTAGCTAAATGATTTGTCTAACGACTGATTGTTGGACATCCTTACAAAATATTAGTTATTTGTGTCTGACTGTACGCTACATTGATAGTGAGTGGACTTTGCAAAAAAGGATTATAAACTTTGGTCAAATTCCAAGCCACAAGGGAGAGATTCTTGGTAAAGTCATTGAATCATGTTTGCATACTTGGGCTATTGAAAGAGTATTCACTATGGCTGTTGATAATGCCTCATCTAATGACTCTATGATTACCTACTTGAGAAGGAAGATTAAGGGGTGGAAAGGCGTTGTTTTTGGTGAGGAATTTCTGCTTGTTAGATGTTATGCCCATATAATGAACTTGATTGTCAATGAAGGTTTTAAAGACCTGCATCATTCCATTGCTGCCATTCGTAATGCCGTGAGGTATGTGAGGTTTTCTCCGGCTAGGTTGTTGAAATTCAAGTCACGTGTGGAGCGGGAGAAAATTGAATACAAAGGTCTCTTAGTCCTAGATGTCCCCACTAGATGGAACTCCACTTGTATGATGTTAGATGCATCCATTAAGTTTCAAAAAGCTTTCAAGAGGTATGAAGAGGAAGATGAAAAGTTTGTGTCTTATTTTCATGAAGAGGAGGGGGAAAATAGAAGATTGGCCCACTACTTGATAATGATTGGGAGAATGATAAGGTGTTTGTGAAATTCCTTAAGACTTTTTATGAAATAACTTTGAAGTTTAGTGGGACTTTGGATGTCACTTCAAATTCTTACTTTCTTGAGCTTTATGAGATGCAAAACCAGCTCTTGCAATTTAGCAAACAAGAAGATTCAATCATCTCGTCCATGGCTGTGAGTATGAAAAAGAAGTATGACAAGTATTAGGAGAATGTTGAGAATATTAATTGTCTTCTCTTTGTAGCTGTTGTACTTGATCCTAGGTACAAAATGAATTATTTGACATATTGTTTCTCTTCGGTGTATGATTCTTAGACTTCTGAAACATTATCAAAGAAGGTGAAGGATACTTTGTACCGGCTATTTGACTTTTATAGTGGGGACAATGCTAAATTTGTGGCTAATGATAGTGGCGGGGCAGCAGCATCAGCTAGTACAAAGGAGGTAAAAATTGATGAACAAGGAAAATGGTGTTTGTGGAGCTCCTTTGTTAAAAAAAATGAAGTAGAAGAATGTGACAAAAATGAGGTGGACAGATACTTGACAGACCCTATAGAGGACCCAACTTTGCCAAACTTTACTCTTTTAGATTGGTGGAAGAATAATGCAACCAAGTACAAGGCTCTCTCACTGGTTGCAAGAGACATTTTTGCCAGTCCTATTTCAACAGTACCCTCAGAATATGCTTTGAGTACCGGTGGACGCATCCTCAATCCCTTGAGGAGTTCATTGAGCCCCAAGATAGTGAAGGTATTGATTTGTTTACAAAATTAGCTGCGTAGTCGTGAGCACATCAACATTAGTGACTACACGGAAGAGGTTAATGAATATGAAGAAATTGAGTCAGGTAATGTTTCCATGCTATGTATTTCATCTCCTTGTTGTTTATTTTGTTGTCTAAAAACTGATCCTTATACTTTGTATTTTTTTTTTTTAATGTTTTCCTCTCAAGGTTTGGCAACTTCTGCTCCAACACATGAAGGACAAGTTGGAAATGGAGGTGCCAATGCTATCATTCTTGAGTGAACTCAGGGAATTTCAGCTGCTTGTGGTGTTGAATTCATTACTTTTTTATTTTGACTTGAACTCTTTGGTGTGGACTAAAATTCTTATTTGGTTGTAGCATGTGTGCACTATGGACTGTTTGTTGCACTTTTTTATTACGTATCTTAGTAATTAGGATTATTGGATATGTATGTGCAATGGACTTGTACTAAGGACTTCTTAATTGTCGGACCTGGACTCTCTTTTAAAATGTTTGGCAATAGATATGTATGTGAAATTTTTTAATTTCTGGACTCTTTCTAAATGTTTGTCATGGTAAATCTTGGTTTACCCATGCAAAAGCAGCAATTTAGCAAAGAATCAGCAAATTTGGAGCTGGTTTACTCGTGGAAAAACAGCAATTCAGGCTAAAATAAGCAAATTTGGAGTTGGTTTACCCGACGTAACCCAGCCGACTCGAGATTACCTGAGGTAACCGAATGGTGTACAGGTTCTAGGATAAAGTCACATGTTGTGGCCCACAGTTTTCTCAAGCCGATTCTCGTGGACAGGCCGAAAACTTACCCAAAAACTGACCCTACTTGGCCAACTTTCACCCCTAATATGTATGAGCGCCATTCGCCAAACTAGGTAAAAATCAAGCATACCCGTTTCTTACTTTTCCAATCTCCAAACCGTCATCAAGCTACATGCTTAGATCTTAGACTCTTAAAAGCCCTAATGTTCAACTCTAACATCAACACCAAACAATACCCATATTTCAAATTCCACCACCAATAACAAATTTCACAAAACAAATAAGAAAAACCAGTTAAAAACTACCCAAGCTCCAACAACAAATCTTAAAAGCACCAAGAGCATCTCCAACCGTTTACACCAAAATGGTGCAACATTCACACTAAATGGTATAGCTTTCACGTCAAACAGTAAATTTATCTCCAACCTATTACACAATTTCTAATACTAAAAAGAATATTCCATATATATTCTTTTTTTTTTTTATCTCTTTCTTATATTCTTTTTTACTAATTCCCTACCATTTATCTATTTCACGAATTATGACCCTCATGCAATATTTTTTCACATATTGTTCCCATAAAATATATTTTATTATTTACTAAAGTAGTAGAAACTAATAAATAATAAATTAGATTTTCCTAACTAAAATGACCCATTCACTATTGATATATTAATTAAAAACAAATTTAAATCAATAAAAGAAGTTGTGAACGAAATATTGTAGTTAATAATTAAACATAAATGCAAAAGTGAAAAGAAAAGAAGATATTATTTACATTTAATCCTCTGAATTAGTATACTCCTCACACAAACGATCAATTAATGCATTAGGAAGCTCAACGTGAGCATCTTTATCTTTGATTTGACTATGTCTATCAAGGAATTGTTGAAATCGGGTATTTTCATCCTCCATTTCAATTTCTGGAGTTGGCACTTGCATCACATCTTCAATTGTTGCATCAAGATCACGTTCATCCTCGATTATCATGTTGTGAATAATAATGCACGCAGTCGTTATTTCATGTAGCATATCTAATTTTCTCCAAAAACGTGTCGGTCCTGCCACAATTGCAAAACATGATTGGAGAACTCTGAAGGCATGTTGTCCGTCTTTTCTACGCGCTTCTCGTTTCGTGACAAAATACTTTTTCTTTAGACCTCGCGGCTCGTGAATAGTTTGCACAATAATAAACCATTTTGGGTATATACTAGTTGTGTGAAAAAATATGGGTGACATGTGGAATGGCGACAGCGTGACACGTGGCCTTATTTTCCCTCAAAAGGTGACAACCCTCGACGCTTGAAGCTCGCTTCCCCTCTACGTTGCAAAGAAAGGCCCAACTTAGGGCATCGACCAGTTGTGTCGTCGAACTTATGGCAACAGTTCTTTTAGAAATGGTCGACTGCCAGGAAGGACATAGGGTCTACGCAGCACAGACGATGAGGGGAATGATCTTCAGAAAGGAGCCTAACATCACAAGTTGCGTCTAGGGATGGGAGACGTCTGCAGTACGGGCATTAATTGCAATCCCCTAAACCGCCCTACAGTGGGCAGTGAAGGATTACAGGAATCCACAGAGCCGTAATGGAAGACCAATTGGCTGAGTGAACAGTCTAAAAGGTGATTAGTACGCTACGGTCTGGGCCAAGAAAGGTAGGCCACTTGAGTACTTTTACCTACGAAGGAAAACTACCCACAAAGGAAGCTTGAGCTATAAAAGGGGCAAAACCCCATACACGAAAGGGAGGGATTTCTCAAGTATTGAATAAAAGAGAGAAAATACATGCATGTAAATTGTAAAAGTCCAAAGAGAAATATCATACACAAGTGGATGTAGCTCTTCATTAACAGAGTGAACCACTATAAATCTTGTGTGTCCGCTCATTCAAGCGTTACTTTTAATGTGTTCATCCCCCTAAACTTGTGTACAACATTGTCCTCAATGTTGGAACGAATAAAAGCACAAGGACGCATACCTCGGGGATGAAGTTACATCCCCTCATTGTCATCACTCCCTTCTTGAGTTTCTGGTGGTGGTGGTTGAGGGTGGTAGGGTCGGAGGAGATAGTCGGGATAGGCGGGGGGCATTGCAGTGGATGAGTTGGCAGGACCTTGAGAAGCCAAATAATGATGGAACTGCTGCTCATAACGGCTTCTCATGATGTCATGGTGTTGCATATCCTTAACTCGATCTAGGACCTCATATATGACGTGGTTTTGTTGATTGAGTTTAGATTGCAGTTCCGTTAGATTTTTGCCTTGTTGGACCGTCATCCTATAAACATCCTCGATAGAGGGAATGTGATGGGTCATGTCTGATGCGGATGATGGTCCAGCTTCTTCGCGGTGAGTGCGGGTGCGGGATGGTTGGCGGTGGCGGTTCTCCTCACGTATCCGTTCACGCTCCTATAGAGCACTTGTTTGTTGGGCTGAGACTCATTGAATCCGATTCCTTCCTCCCAAAACGTGAAGTCGCGGGAGTAGGGTGGGAGGTCAGGGTGCATCATTGTTCTCGTAGAGTTCAAAACCCAAGCCTGATTCGATGTGCCTGCCCCCAGGCCATTTAACAAATTTATCAATTGACGATTTATCAATTAACACACCACATGGTCTCAATGTCTCGGTTAGATCAATTGGCACACCAGTATTTTGACATAGCCCAATGATAAGACATGGATGGGTATGAGCACTCGTCACTCTCGCCTCGAGGGACTTCACCAAATCATCCCTAATAACCACACCAATATCGATGCCCTGCTGTTTGCAATTTGCAAAGGGTGGAGCATCGATATTGGTGTGGTTATTAGGGATGATTTGGTGAAGTCCCTCGAGGCGAGAG